ATAATATCCGTCTATCTGATTGGTCCGCAGGGATTTATGGCTTTATGGTCGATATAGATTTATTGAAGGATAGTCATTAAAGCAATTGTTGCGTTTTCCAAGATTATATTTGAATTTGAAAATATTTCACTTAGTGTTAATTTCGATTGTTTTAATTATTTATTCAAATTCAAAATTTTATTTGTTTGGGTAATTAATACAAATTTAAAATATTTATGTATAGCTTTATACACTAAAAATGAAAAACACTCCCAAATTGTCCCGTAATAAGAAATTTAGACTTCTGCAGAAGTCTAAATTTCTTATTACGGGACCCATGGGTTGTTAAAAAATTAAAATGAACATAGTGGCATTCTCTATTTGCTTTTACCATATAAAATTCAAGGTAAAAGTATACAGTGGGCACTACAAATTATAAGAAATATAAATATATAGAATTCGTTGCAAAATGCTTGTTAAAATTTTAGAAATCAATGTGAAACATTTTAATAAATAACAATTACTTATTATGCGTTAATTTTGACGGGCAGTGTAGTTTGCAGATTGTATTTAGTATTTTATGCGGATTCTATAGCAAAAAAATATAATAACACATTAACTTATAATTACAAATTGTTTCATGGTTCTAAGTATTATGAATAATAATGGTTAGCATAGTGGTCTATGATGGTTACTATTTCTTTAAACTTAATGAATGTTTAAAAAGCAGGATTTTTTAAAGCAATTAAATTAAATTATTTTATACATTTTCAGAAAATCCAAATGTCCCAATTCTGTTAAATATTGCATCAACTAAGTAAGACCTTTCAATTCGTATGTTCCACTTTTAAGAACATTTACAATTAATTTACTAATTCATTATTTTGAACGTCGAACCAAATATTAATTGAAAAAAGGCATAGCATAGCATAGCATAGCATAGCATAGCCTCAAATGCCACATTTAAAAAAATGTAAAATTCAAAGAGCTGTTTTGGAATTTCTAAATTGGAAATGGATACTAAACCCCCAAACCCCCCTGTCTACGTCCCCTGCTAAATATTATTTTTTTTTAAATTACTTTTATCCGTGTACAAGATTTTTCAACAAATCGTTGCATAAGACGATTTTCTTTGTATTTTCTGATTTCGTGAAAATAATAAAATTATAACAAATTAATTTGATTTATATAGCTGACAGGCAATACTGTTTATAAATTCATTAAGATGGTACAAGGTTGCAAAATTAATTGCTACATGGAAAAAATTACGATTTATATGAATTTTATTGTGAAAAAACAACTGGGTAAACGATAGTACCTTCAACTTTATTCATCATCTTTCGTTTTACTTTCAAGTAAAAAGGAAATATAAATAATAAAAATGTTCATTTTCAAGGTGCACAACTATCTCCCGATTTTATAAAACTTTCAAATACGTTTAGGAAAATATCAGTCGCGTGAACAATACTGAAAAACTTGCAAAATGGTAGGTGACAATTTTTTGGTTCAAAATAAAAGTCTATAGACTTTGTAAAGTACCATAAACATGCTGCAGCAATATTAATAATATAATAATAATATTACCTATTATTTTTACAATATTTCTTTGTTTGTGGTTTTAAATTAAATTTAAATTAAAAATTAACAGTAAAAAAATTAAATTTGCTTCTTTTAGGTTGTTAACCTTAACAACCTTGACAAACTCTTCATTAAAATATGATTTAAGATTTTATAAAATATACTAGCCTTTGGTTATTTTAATAATTTGAATCGCCCCATTTAAATTTGGGTGTGTACCTTAATTAAACAGACAAAAATTGGGAAAATTTTGTACAGTCTTTAACAATGGATTATTATGTAAGAATTTAAAGTTTTAGTCGTTATTAGTAATTATGCGAATTTTTTATGATTTCCTGTTCATTTAATTCAAATTAAAATTACTAATTAAGATATAACAAATTAAGGGGCATTAAACATACTTAACAGAAGGTCAATTAATAATTGCAATAATTAAATTAAATTAAATTATGATTACTGGGACAACATTTGGTAAAGAATTTATTTCAAGAATGGATGCATATTCAAGGCACAATTTTATATATTATTATTAAAAGTAAGAAGTGAGGTTAGTTAGATCTAACATTTTTTAATTGGTTCAAACGAGTTTTTTGCAGCCTAGGAGGTCCTAAATATTTTTTTCTACTCCCACCTTTGAAACGCCCTTTTCGTACTTACATGTTTCCATAACACTAAGTGACCTTTTAAATACACATTGACAAGTTGTGGCTTTATGGCGCTTTAGTCACGGGCTGAAGTTAGCAACAGGTTTTTAGTCACGGGCTGAAGTTAGTTTTAAGTTAGTTGACAGTTGTCAAATGTCATACAATCGTTAAAATAAAGTGCCTTTCTTGTAAAATAATACAAAATGTGAAAATTATTTTATTATCTCAATACAAAAATACAAAAGTATTAAATAAACTATAACTTAAATTCGGGCACGGACTCCACTGTAAAGTCCTAATAAAACATTTTTTTTACTTTCACTGTGAAAACTGTCAATTTTCAAGAAATACATTTCGATTTATAACCTTTATAATCTGTGTTTATAAAATTTAAAAATGTGACATTTGACGGTGACACACAGATTCCCCTATTGCTTCATAGATGGCGCTCTATACAAATTTTTGATTTGAATCATTTTAAGATAATAATAAGTATTTTTCGTAGAAAAAGTATAGTATGCACCTCGTTTATAAAATTTTCTATACACTCATTAATTTAAGCACTCGCTCGCAAGCTCGCTCGTGCCTAAATTAAATTCGTGTTTAAAATGGCGTTTATCAAACTTGATACATAATATACTATTACAGCCTAAGCAATCATCATTCACTTTAGTATTGAGTGTTGACAATAATAAAGTTAAAATTATAGACCGCTTGATATTCGAAGATAAAAACCTTTACTCGTATATGTATGTAAATGTTAAAAGCAATAATAGTCTTATAGGTAGTAATAGTATATGGGTCTAAGGAATTCATAAAATTTAATTTGATTCCAATCTGAAATATAACTAGATAAAACCAGTTTTAGTAAATACCTAATTGTTTATTTATTCCTTATTAAACAAATTATTTGGTAATAGTATATAATGTATCAAGTTTGATAGTCATGAATTTTAATAGGGCACGAGCGAAGCTTGCGAGTTGCATACTACGACAAATATTATTATAAAAAATTTGTACAAATAATGCAATTACATAAGAGACCTGGCACAGTAAATATTAATTTCTAAATACTTCAAAAATTGTTGTGAAAGATGGCAAACCTTTTGAAAAACAAAACTAAAAATATTCCCCAGATATTTTTAGAAAAATGTGAAATACTCTAATGTCATTTCTATTAAGGCTACCTTTTCTTAATGGTTCGCGCTAAAATAGATTTCATTAGTTCACAATGTAACTCAACCTAATTTCTAAAATTAAAACTTACTTAAGCTATTTTAAAACACCTGTTACAAATTTGTTGACCCTGACTGTACTTTTAACTTCCCTTTATTTTTATATATGTGCTAAAATTTCGAACAAATTTTCGCCCTTGCGACTAGAAATGGTAATATAATCTTTTGTCGACGAATTTTATTGCCTTTGTTTGATTTTCAGTAGACGAAATTGTAATTTTTGAAGGATATTCAAATATCGAGGTCGTAAATTTTTTCTGCATCCGAGATGCCCATTAGTATACGTGTGTCAATAAGAGCGGCTCGAAAAGGTTTGCACAACCCTTTGCACCCTCATAAAAACCAACATTTTATTGCCGACACAATAAATACAACAATCTCTTTCAAAACACCGAAAGTCAAAAAAATATAACGCCCAACCACCATATGCAGATTGTTCAGAAATTACATAATAAAAACAATTTAAATTTCTTTCCAAGGTTAACTCGAACATAAGTTACAATATTTCTTTTTATTAAATAAATTAAACAAAGCAAGAATACTTGCTCTCAATTTAAACTCAATTTAAATTAACCCTCTGTCAAACAAAAGTTGAACAACGCATTAAACTTACAGTTTTCTATTGTATTAAACAAGTGATACCAAAAATTGTCACTAGATGGCGCCACATACTTCCAAATGTGTTAAAGTAAAAAGTGTACACTGATTTAGTACACCAATAACTGATATTCATTAAATTTATTTAAAAAAAGTACCTATTCAGATTTATACCTACATTCCATATATTCCATTCCATTTCATACATATTATAATGGTGAAATTAAAAAATGTATACCTACATATCTTCATGTACAAAAAGTGTATACATACACTAAGTGTCTTTCAAGTCTTTCAATGATACAACTGCACACTTTTTGTACACGAACTGCACTAATGTACTCTGTGGTTATTAGTGTAGGTCACAAACAGACCTAGATTTACTGCAAAAAAAGTAAACCTGGCAACACCTAATCAATTTAACGCTAGTTGTTAATAACATTTTTGGGATAAATTCTTTAATAAACGATACTTTGATAAATATATTTGATTTGGGATTTGTTACACATTTTTTAGATGTTTTTTATTATGTAATATTTCCGAACGCACTCGTACTTAAAACAAAACACAAATGTTGGGTTGTCAAAAATTGTTTAAATTTAAAAAAATCTGTATATTGTTGTCAATTTTGACATTTTTTGCTGTTGCAGTTTTGCGTGGGTTAAATCAGTGTTTTTTTTTAATGTAAATTAAAAAGTTAATTGACATTTTTTAAATTTGGCGGCGAGTGAAGCGAAAAGTGACGATTTTAGACCGACAACGAGTTTAAGAAAATATCGATGGTGCTGGCTCGATGTAGAATAATAAATAAGATATTTTTAAGTAAATATTTGGAAAAATAAATTTTAAACCACTGATTCGTGTTTAAAAAATATGAACTTGAACAAAAGCACATAAATTTTCGAATTGAAGGTATCGTTTAATTAATAATTATGCAGGAAAAAGGATATCCTTTTGAGCAACTTTGGGTTGATATTTCAATGGAGTAAGTTAATAATTTAGACCCTATTTAGCACCCTTTTCTCTTCTAATTGCACGCCAAGCTTAATTAATGCATGCTCTTTAAAATCAAACCAATCTAACCTTAAGTCCTATCCATACAAGCCTTTAATTCTAATTTGTCTCTTCTGTTTTCATAGTCTTTCCTTAAAATCGACGAATTAAATTCGTACCACGGCAAGTGAGCTAAATAAACTAAATACAAATAAGCAATAAATTGAATGGAGCATGTGCTGAGCAGTGTCTAACAAAAACAGTTATGATTTAAGTGAAAGGGGGATAAAGCTCCTCCAAAGCCACTGATATGGTAACTATGAACTCCGAAAAGGCTGCTGCTAAGCGAAAGCCAGAGGCTAATAACAGCGGATGTGCCACGGCCAACACTCATGAAGAGTCAATCCCAATTGCTGCTCAGACTACTACAGCCGGCTCAGAAGAATCACCCAATCATTTATTATACAAAAAAGTAAGTAACAGAAAAACTACTAAAGGTACACAAATGTATACAGGGTGGCTCCAAATTCCATCCAAAAGTTTTAATAATAGTAATAGTGATTCTACAGGTCATAATATTAAAAAAAGTGTCTAAGAATATGCTTTAAAAAAATAATAAAAACATAATTTAGAATGTAAAACACATTTTAGAATGTCAAAAATAATATTTTTTTTACTCCCACCTTTATAATAATAATAATAATAATGCTTTATTCATGTTTACATACAATAAGTATTTACACTCTTCACAAAAAATACCTAATAAGCATAATAAATATAATAAAAAAACAAGACACTTTATTTGCATACAACAGTACAATTTACCTAAAGGTAATAAAAAACCAATTAATACAAAAAAAACAAAAAACACAGGCTAAAGTTAGCTCTAAATTATTTTTTCTACTCCCACCTTTAAAACGCCCTTTATCGTACATGTTTCCATGACACTAAGTGACCTTTTAAATACACATTGACAATTTGGCGCTTTAGTCACGGGCTGAAGTTAGCAACAGGTTTTTAGTCACAGGCTGAAGTTAGTTTTAAGTTAGTTGACAGTTGTCAAATGTCATATAATCGTTAAAATAAAGTGCCATTCTTGTAAAATAATACTAAATGTGAAAATTATTTTATTACCTCAATACAAAAATACAAAAGTATTAAATAGTTTCTCAACGCCAATATTTAAAAAGTTTATATGAACATTTCGCCGGCAGTAAACTATAACTTAAATTCGGACACGGACTCCACTGTAAAGTGCTCATAAAACATTTTCTTTACTTTCACTGTGAAAAACTGTAAATTTTCAAGAAATACATTTCGATTTATAACCTTTATAATCTGAGTTTATAAAATAAAAAATTGACATTTGACGGTGACACACAGATTCCCCTATTGTTTCATAGATGGCGCTCTATACAAATGTTTAATTTAAATCATTTTAAGATAATAATAATTATACTTAAGTATTTGACTTATTAATAAATTATTTTTTATTATATCTTTCGTAGAAAAAGTATATCATTTATAAACTTTTTGTGACTAAAATGGCTCAAACTTTTGCCATAAAAATTTGTAGTTAAATTTTTGTATTTTTGTCAATTTTCTGACAGAATTTGTTATACATTTTTTCGTAGTAAAAAAACAATATTTCAAATTAATTTTTTTTTATTTCAGATGGAAAAAATCGTTGAAAAAATGCAAGATGAGACGACCGGCGTGCCAGTTAGGACAGTGAAGAGCTTCATGTCGAAAATCCCTTCGGTCTTCACTGGGTCTGATTTAATAATGTGGATGATGAAAAATTTGGATGTGGAGGATCAGCAAGAAGCTCTTCATCTGGCTCACTTAATGGCTGCCCACGGCTATTTTTTCCCCATCGATGATCACATGTTGACTGTCAAAAACGACAATACCTTCTATCGATTCCAAACACCCTACTTTTGGCCGTCGAATTGTTGGGAACCAGAGAATACAGACTATGGTATTTATTTTTTAAAATTTTTCCATTTTGAGAGTAATTTTTTTTATGTTTAGCTGTTTATTTATGCAAGCGTACAATGCAGAATAAAACGCGCTTGGAATTGGCAGATTACGAGGCTGAGAATTTAGCGAGATTGCAGAAAATGTTTTCGAGAAAATGGGAGTTCATTTTTATGCAGGCGGAAGCACAAAGCAAAGTCGACAAGAAACGCGACAAGCTCGAAAGAAAAGTTCTTGACAGTCAAGAAAGGGCTTTTTGGGATGTTCACAGACCAATGGTAAGGTACTTTTAGTAGATAACAAAATTATCCCTTTTACCTAAAAAATTTCAGATTTGAAACAAAAAAGTAATTTTCTCATATACCGTTAAAAACATTTAAAAAGTTTTTATCATTTTTTGGTTTTCAAAATAAGTAGGAAAAATAATTTAGATTAAATTTTTCAGAGAAATCAAAGATAACAAAATTATCCCTTTTACCTAAAAAATTTCAGATTTGAAACAAAAAAGAAATTTTCTCATATACCGTTAGAAATATTTAAAAGGTTTTTATCATTTTGTGGTTTTCAAAAGAAGTAGGAAAAATAATTTAGATTAAATTTTTCCGAGAAATCAAAGATAACAAAATTATCCCTTTTACCTAAAAAATTTCAGATTTTAAACAAAAAAGTAATTTTCTCATATACCGTTAGAAATATTTAAAAAGTTTTTAGCATTTTGGGGTTTTCAAAAGAAGTAGGAAAAATCATTTAGAATAAATTTTTCCGAGAAATCAAAGATAACAAAATTATCCCATTTACCTAAAAAATTTCAGATTTGAAACAAAAAAGTAATTTTCTCATATACCGTTAGAAATATTTAAAAAGTTTTTAGCATTTTGGGGTTTTCAAAAGAAGTAGGAAAAATCATTTAGAATACATTTTTCCGAGAAATGAAAGATTTATAAAATTATCCTTTTTACCTAAAAAGTTTGTAATGTCAATTACAAAATTTTTATTCACAACCACAAAACTTTTGAATATTATGAGAAAATTACATTTTTGTTTAAAATTAGTCATTTTTTGGTGGAAAGGAAAAATTTGATATTTTGAACTTTTTCTCATATACTTACCGTTAGAAATATTTAAAACGTTTTTAGCATTTTGGGGTTTTCAAAAGAAGTAGGAAGAATCATTTAGAATAAATTTTTCCGAGAAATCAAAGATAACAAAATTATCCCTTTTACCTAAAAAATTTCAGATTTGAAACAAAAAATTAATTTTCTCATATACCGTTAGAAATATATAAAAGGTTTTTATCATTTTGTAGTTTTCAAAAGAAGTAGGAAAAATCATTTAGAATAAATTTTTCTGAGAAATCAAAGATAACAAAATTATCCCTTTTACCTAAAAAATTTCAGATTTGAAACAAAAAAGTAATTTTTTTATAATCATTTTTATCATTTTGTGGTTTTCAAAAGAAGTAGGAAAAATAATTTAGATTAAATTTTTCCGAGAAATCAAAGATAACAAAATTATCCCTTTTACCTAAAAAATTTCAGATTTGAAACAAAAAATTAATTTTCTCATATACCGTTAGAAATATATAAAAGGTTTTTATCATTTTGTAGTTTTCAAAAGAAGTAGGAAAAATCATTTAGAATAAATTTTTCTGAGAAATCAAAGATAACAAAATTATCCCTTTTACCTAAAAAATTTCAGATTTGAAACAAAAAAGTAATTTTTTTATAATCATTTTTATCATTTTGTGGTTTTCAAAAGAAGTAGGAAAAATAATTTAGATTAAATTTTTCCGAGAAATCAAAGATAACAAAATTATCCCTTTTACCTAAAAAATTTCAGATTTGAAACAAAAAATTAATTTTCTCATATACCGTTAGAAATATATAAAAGGTTTTTATCATTTTGTAGTTTTCAAAAGAAGTAGGAAAAATCATTTAGAATAAATTTTTCTGAGAAATCAAAGATAACAAAATTATCCCTTTTACCTAAAAAATTTCAGATTTGAAACAAAAAATTAATTTTCTCATATACCGTTAGAAATATTCAAAAAGTTTTTAGCATTTTGGGGTTTTTAAAAGAAGTAGGAAAAATCATTTAGAATAAATTTTTTCGTGAAATGAAAGATAGTAAAATTATCCTTTTTACCTAAAAAGTTTGTAGTGTCAATTACAAAATTGTTTTTCACAACCACAAAACTTTTGAATATTTCAAACTGTTTATGAGAAAATTACATTTTTGTTTAAAATTAGGCATTTTTTGGTGAAAAGGAAAAAATGTATTTGATATTTTGAACTGTTTCTAAAAAATCGCTTATTTTTAAATTGGAATCAATCAAGAAGTTGAGTTAAAAAGAGTAGTAATTGTTTAGATAAACAGTTTTTGTATGTTTATTTCTGAATAAAAATAAAAAAAATGTCTTGTTTCATTTAAGCCTGGATGTGTGAATACAACGGAAATCGATATTAAAAAAGCTTGCCAAATGAACAAACCGATACATGGAGTGAAAATCCCGCCAAAGATGTCTCCATCAACATCAGGGAACGTGAGTGCGAAAATTACAACATTCGACACCGTGAAAAAGCAAGTGAACCTTCTGAGATCGAAATTGGACAGACGAAACATCAAGGTTTCCAAGGCAGCCGAGTCGTAAGTAAAATACATATATACAGGGTGTTATGTAATTAATGTTATATATTAAAATGGATTGTTCCTTAGGGTCCATAAAGAAGCACCTGAAACTTTTTTTTCTAAATTTCAAAGTCTAAAAATAATTTATAATAACCTGTATCCTACCAAAAAGTACGCCACTTTAGGTTAATCTGGTGGATTTATTATGTTATGGTTGGTAACAACAGTGTTTCCAAAATCTCTCAAAAAAGTTGACAAACATTGTTTAAATTTAGCTTAATTACAAAAATGACAAAATTAACAATGCAAATTGTCAATTTGGCGTTTTTATTAATTGTTGGTTGTTTCATTTTTGTACTGAAGGTAAATTCAAACAAAATCTGCCAACTTTTATGACAGAATCTAGTGCATTTCTTTTAAATTTTAGGTTATGTTTTCAAATTGTAAATATCTTAACTAAGGGAAGTGCTTTTGGATTTATTTACACAAATTAAATGTTTAAAGTTTAACCTGTAAACTGGTCCCAATTTCATCTGAGTAAACAGAGAAAAAAACTGATGAAAAAATTAATTTTGTGGTTATGGATTTCAAATTTCAATGGTACTAAATTTTCTAATCATTGCTTAAGCTAATAGCTGGATCAGTAAATAAATACAGAAGGGTATTAGAGCTTTAAGGGCATAAAACTTTTGTATTTATTTTTTGCAAGAAAAATTTTTAGTAACAATTTTTTACATCTGGCAACGCATAGCTACTTTGTTGGTTGGTATCTATGTACTCACAAAATACAGGTGTGCAGAGATAAACAAGTGTGTAACCAGTGACGTATCACAAAAAATATAAAAAACTTCTAATGCATATTTTTTCTTTATCTTTGGAAAAATGTTTTTTTAAATATTTTTCCTTTATTCCTTATGTCAAAAGGTATTCAGTATTTTAATATATAACATTAATTACATAACACCCTGTATATAGTTTTTAAGCGATTAGATTAAGTATTTCGGCGCAGTTTTGTAGCTTACTACGAGCAGTATTTGGAGTACGACAGCTTTTTCGTCGCGCCCGAGTATCCGAATCCGTGGATATCCGACAATCCGGAGATGTGGGAGCAGGAGAAAATCGCCAAGGACATATCAGCGCGCCGCGTAAAACGGTGGGCGTTCAGCTTGCAAGAGCTGCTGCAGGACCCGATCGGGCGCGACCATTTCGTGCGATTTCTGGACAGGGAGTTCAGCGGCGAGAACCTCAAGTTCTGGGAGGCCGTGCAGGATTTGAAAGCCCTGCCGCAAAGCCAAGTGCAGAACAAAGTGACGGACATTTGGGCGGAATTTCTCGCCTCGGATGCCAGTTGCCCGATAAACGTCGACGCGCGCTCCTACGAAGTTACCAAGAAGAACATGGAGGTTCCCGACAGATGGAGCTTCGATTGCGCGGCGGTAATTCCCCCATTAACAATTTAATTTTGCTCGTTTTCAATGTGCTTTCTTTAGGCGCACGTTTACCATCTTATGAAGGCTGACAGCTACTCTAGATACCTGAGATCCGAAATGTACAAGGAGTTTTTGAATGGATCCAAGAAAAAGGTTAGTGATTTTTTATATTTTGGTTTTACACTTCAAAATCTCCAGGAAACAAATAAAATCGAATTCTATTTTACAAACCGATCGTCAAAATTTTTACACTGAACAATTTAAATGCAAATAACTCATTTTTCTCATAAAGTTCATTTTTTTTATCTGGACTGAGGCAACGTTGCAAATTTAGGGTTTTGGTTGGTAAATACAGTTGTCAAGTTGGTCGCATTAATTAAAACAAACTAAGCTAGTTATAAATCTAATTGTGGTTATGTATAAATTATTGTAGGTTGCATTGTGCAGTTGTCAAGTTGAGTTGTCGAAATTCGTAGTTAAAAATGAGTAAAATCATATAAAAAAAGTAGTTAAATATAGGTTGCTTTACGGCCCAGAAGAGAAAGTATTTCTAGAGGATAATAATCTTCGCTTTGAAAAGAATTTATATAAAATAAATTAAAATTTTTTGTGAACGTAAATGTTGTCCAATGGTGAATAATGTGAAAATAATGTGTGATGTAATATTTATAAAACCAAATTTGGTACTTTTTCTTCCATTGTGGAATTTGGCATAATTTCATCAAAATTAAGTTTTGCCCTGAAATTTGAATTCGTTGCTATTATTTTTGGCATAATTATCTTTTTATTTATAATTGACAAGTAAATTATCAATAATAAATATGATTGTCAATTTGACAGTGTCAAAGTATTTAATTAAATTCTTTAGCAGAAGTACCATTTTTAAATACTAAAAATACCAAGTCAAACTGGCATAAGCCACCAACCTAACAAAAAAACACGAGTCCAGATAAAAAAAAATGAACTGTAGTAAAGAAAAAAAAGATTGTAGAAGGAAAACTCGATGGTAGTCGGGTTTTATTTTTATGTAGAGTTAATAAATCAAGAATATTCCCCAAAAATTCCTTTCCGCTTCCCCTAATTTCATCCCCCGAAAGGGGAGTTTTTTGCTTTTTGGCTTATAACTCGCTAACCGTGCATTTTTTCAGAATTTATATATAATATAACCGAATGGAGGATTTTTTGAGGTACTAGACTTTTTTCAAAAGTTACTGCTTTTCAATGTACAGGGGGTTCTTTTTTAAAAAAACCCATTTTTTATTTCCCAAACGGCTTTAATGAGCCAGTTCGTTCTACCCTAGATTTTTAGGAAGTTTTTTTAAATTATTTTCATTGCAAGTGCCCCACAAAAATTAAAGTCAAGTATAAATTTTATGTTAATAGGATTGTAATTACGCAACTTTTCTCCAACCTTGTAGCTCTTCAAATAATAAAAATAAACATATATATGACATTTTTAAAAAGTTTGTTGATCGAAATAAATGTTTTATTATCAATATCATCGTATTTTATTAAATTATAGATTTGTTAAATAGGCAGTTTTTATTTTTTACCTGGCAGATCTAAACTGTATGGAAAAATATAATAACCGAGCATTCCTGACGTCCATTTGACAGTTCAAATCATGAAGCCTACACAAAGTTTTCTACTTTCACCACTAGCGGCGCTGATTTCCATTTTGTACTGACCCTCTTATTTTGGGAAGCTATTTTTATACATGGAGTTTGTACTCCTTGTGTAGGCTCCATGGTCCAAATGGTCGGTAGGTTGATTGGTCAAAAAGAATTATTAGTGTTGGGTCGTTTTGGTAAAAAATCGTGAATATTATTTTACATTTATAGTTATACAAATTTGCTGTTTGTGGAATTTTGGAAAACTTTTTAAAATTGTGTGTGTGAATTTTATTTATCGATTTAAAACTGTTGTTGATAGTTGATTGTGTATTGGTTGAATTTGCGTGATTGGTTAAAATGGGTTGTTAGGTTTTGTATGATGGGTAAAAATACTTGAATTTTGTTTTCAGACCTCAGTTAAAGGGATTCGTTCAATAGTTTCATTCTCAGCACGTAAAGACAACATAACCTAGATAAAATGCGTTTAGGCAATATAAAAAATGTATTATAATTGTGACTTACCTAAAGATAAAAATCTATCGACAATACAAGTACTGTCATTGGCAGATATTTATTTATTTTTTCATATTTTTGGATGAAAGGATATTGCGTCATACTCATACTATGACGAAACTTGATGAGATACTCTTTGTTAGTTTTGGTAATAGTGACTCAGATATTATTAGATCATAAATGTGTAACATTCTCGAGATGTAAATAAATATGTGTTAATAGGGAACATTTTTTGTTATGTTTTAAATTTTGAACATTGTGATAAAAAGCACAACTTGAAGTTTAAAAGTTACTGTGTCATACCTACTGTGTCACTGTCACCCAAAATTACTTTACATCTTTGAATAATACTCATCAGTGTGCAGTGTTGGATTTAAATTACAAGTATATTATAAGGAGACACTGCCATTTAACATTTAACAATTTATGTCTACCATACACAACTATGCTTCACACCGAAAAGGCCACTTTGCCGTTTAAATAAGGAACGCAGCCCCATTATTGAGGTTACGTATCTGTTAGTTGAACGTTAATTTCGTCCCTATTTTGCCGAAAATTCCTTGACCACTGCGTCCCCATTCAAATGTCAAAGTTACCTTTTTATTGTGGAGCATATTACATACAACAAAACGCGCCAATTATTGTACCGTTACATATTTTTTCATAGGCATAATGAAAATTGTGTAAAATGTCAAGCATATCTTCACGAATTAAATTTAGAATTATCCTTCGTAAAGAGAAATCATGTAATATTTTAGTAAATTTACAAAAGACAGATCAATAGACAACAAGCGGCACATTTTAGAATTCACCTTTTATTTATTGTATTCCATTATAGAACCAATTTGCAAATGTTCATTAGAGCTTGTAGTATATTGATTGTAGATTAAACAATTTGCCAAAAAAAATATTTTTCCCAGTGTGAATAGTTATAAAATCATGTAACAGAAAAAACTATTCCCACAATGTTATGGTGTACAAAAAGCTTGAGGTTCGTTATTAAGTTATAAAGGAATTGAATCATATTTCATTAGTTTATGTCCATACATAGAGAATTTATCCCATTAAAAAAACAATAAACTGTAAAATATATTTGACTATTTATTTATTTTTATTCCCTACTTCATTTTAACAGACTTGGAAATATTTATGTGGTAATGGACTGAACCAAAAAACATTAAGCTTGAGTCAACATTCTTAAGGCAGTTATACCTATTTTAATTTAGCTATACCTATCTAGGTTTAGATAATTGACTTGTCAAAATATTCAAAACTATTTAATTAAATAGAGCATGAAGTACATCATCAAATGTGTCAAATAAAATGCATAATAATTTAGAATTAATTCCTGAAATATTTCCAAATAATAATAATGTGTATGTTTACTTATAAAACTAAAATATCATCATGTCAGTTGAACCTAACCTATAAATGATGTGACAAAATCTTTAAATTATTTAATAAAATGCTAAAAAAAGTACTACCTACTGCCTCGGCGATAATATGTGCTTTATACGTCTGGTCTATAATGTACTATATTAATAATAATAATACACAAAGGTGGTAAGTAAATAAAAAAGTATTTGAGATAAATATATATTTTATTCATAAGTTACATGATTGTGTATATTACAATACCCTAAGTTACACTATGTAGTGTATGTAAAAAATCTCCACAGCCCCATTCTTGAATAAATTATTTCATGTAAAAATTAATGGGATATGGTTAAATATGAACAAATCTGCATTATAAAAATATCACAATTATTTCAATATTTAAAATAACAACTAAAGAAAATCCGCACTAAAAACATTCTAAGCTATGACATAAATAAAAATGAAAATTATTTTTAGTGAGGATCCTAAAACAATTGTCCCAATTTTTTAAGTATTGCCAGCCTCTGTCAGCTATATATATATATAAGGAACTTTTGCATTGCGTATATACAAGGAATGATTGCTTTACTCATATTTACAGTTTCAAAAAATTTAGGCCGATGTCGTTTGCACCAATGAAGCTTTCTATTTCAGCCCGTTATTGCTATTAAAAAGTAAACAGAGACCAGGCAACCCTGTGCTTAAACAATTTGTACGCTTTTTCCTTGGACATTTGCAATAATATTAATAATGGATTTTGGATATGTTATACATGAGGTTCGAAATTATAAATAACTTTTACTGTCCGGCACCTATGGCTAGACTAAAATTTTCTTGAGCAAATGTACGTTAGTATTATTATATTTTTCGGCTAGAGACGAAGACGGTTCGTTCTTCTTTGTTTGTGTGTGCCAAACGTAGATCTGAAAAAAAATTGTATTAGTATAAAAAATTAAAAAATCGACTGTGCTAAAAATTAAGCTTAAGTTGGCATTCTTAAGTCAATTTCATCTAGCTTAAGTTGACATTTTTCAGATAGTGTTTAAAAATAGGTTTTTAGCTTTAACGGTAGCTGTACCTACTCAAATATTCTTTATCTCCACGCGGTCTATAATTTAAACTTTATTGTTGTCATCATTCGATAAAAAATACCTTGTTATGGCCTAGGCCGATAAAAATTTTTATGAGGCAAGTAATTAGTTCGATTTTTTCTCGCTAGGGGTATTGTTTTTGACAAATTAATCCTTTTCTAAGAAATTAACGTACTAAACTGGTTTAATTTATTTATAATAAGCACTAATTTGTTTGTTTTACTGTTAATGTTTAATATTTTTCATTAAATTATTGTAAAATTAAATATGAATAATAAAACAAAAAGTGAGGTTAGGCAACCAAGAAAACGCACAATTCTTTTTCTACGATTTAAATTATTAATTTGCTTTAAGTTTTCAGTGAAATTAAATGTTAAAAACAGTTTAAACATTTCAAAACTACCTATTTTTTAAATAAAAATCCAAACAAATTGTAATTAGATACCTACCTATTTATTAAACAATTAATTGAATTCAATGTAATAGCAAAAATCCATTTCTACTTAAATCATGTTGCTATTGCTAGGTATTGTCAAACTATTACTGCTTCTAAAAGCAATAATAATTATTGTACATTTAATGTAATCTTTAGCTAATAAATAAATGAGATTCTAAAAAAGTGAGGTTAGGCCGCTTTGATGTTGAATTAAATTGACCTATATAAAGTGCTTTAAAGATAAAATGTTGTATGCCATTCAACTTCAGCCCGTGACTTAAGCGCCATTAAGTTACAACTCATCATGTGTATTTAAAAGGTAACTTAGTGTCATGGAAACATTTAAGATAATGGGCTTTTTAAAGGTGGGAGTAGGAAGAAAAATTAATTTAATTTTTTCAAAAAATAAAGAAAATAAACTGACTTGTATAGAAAATCATCATTACAACACAAAATCAGCCACTCAAAAGGTAAGGTCTACAGGATTTGTTATATAAAGTAAGATAAGATAACGTTTGTTTAATAAGTAAATAGTCGAACACGTGAGTTTACTTTGTAGTTGTAACGATAAATATTTTAGGAAGATTAAAAAGCAATTTTAAAATGACCTTGCTTGTGTTTTAGTTATACAGGGTGGTTTAAAAGTAAAATTTAAAACTAATAAAAAAAATTAAAATCATGCTTGATACCTTGGTGCAGCTAGAGGCTAATAATTCGATTTCGTTGGGCTCAAAGGGCTTTAAGCTTTTGAGAAATCCGTCCTCCTCGAAGCCAGGCGAATAAGGCATGATGGCGTGAGGTCGCTCCAACAAAAACTGCACGGAAACGGCGAAGCCGGCCATGTCGACCGGAAACTTCCGGCCTCCCTGCCATCCGTCGTAGAACTCGCTGAACCTCCCGTTCCGGATCACCGGCGTACTAACCCCGAACTTCGTCACCAGACCCACGGGAAACATCGAAACTTTTCTCGTGAAGCGGATCTCGTTGAACAACTGCAAATCGTAGCTGTTGTCGTCGTCGGCAAAATAAAAAACGCCCGTTTTTGCGTTCTCCCGCACCCATTCCAAGCCCTTGTTTCGGTTCGACACCCCTCGAGGTTTCGCGCCTTTCTTCTTTTTGTACTGCTCCGGCATCGGAGCTAAAGCGAAAAAATCAGGTGTTTATGTTGACTTGAATAAACCCAGAGAGCCATCAGGTCAAAATTTGGCCAGGAATTGCCATTTCGTCTTTGGAAAAGAACCTAAAGTCTATTCAAATCCAAGCTGGACTAAATGTAACCACAATCCTCCGAATCGACCAATAAGAACTCACAATCCGAGTCACACCATCAGAATCGACCAATAAGAACGAGTTATCACGCGTCTGGGCGTTTTTGTTTACTCCAGCTTGGATTTGAATTGATTTATTTATATACTCGCTATTGCGCATGGGCAAACTGACCAACAGTTTGCCAATTTCGACCAATCTGCATTACAAACGCAATCTGCGGTTTTTGACGCGTAACTTGGATGAAAAAAGTCCTGCCAAGACCTTGGTTCTCTGGGAAGCTTGACGAAATAAATACCTGTTAAATACACGTGGTTTATACCGGTCCTCTTTAACAGATCCGTGATGAGATCATTCGTTTTGTAGGCATCCTCGATAACTAACCAATACAAATTCGGTACTAACATTAGAGTGTGCGATAATCTAGTTAATTCAGCTAGTTGCTCAGATCTTCTATAAGTCGGCGTTATAATATACAGCGGAGGCAAATTTTCCGAACCATAATTCAAGCACTAAAATAAAAATAAAACATTTCTTGTACAAATAAATGCCGCGAGATAAAAAGTAATTAAACAACTAATTTGGGCCATCTGCCAGTTACAATTAAATCGGTGAGATTAATTTAATTTTTGGACTTATACTGTTCTTAATCTCACTGATGTAATTATTATAATCAAAAATAAAAAAAATATATGCGCAAAAATGTTAAAAGTTACAGTCGATCTCTTTTACAATGACGGAAAAGGTCCTTCAACAAATGTCGTTGTAATAAAAATCTAAAAGTGGTGTTTTTCCCTTAATGCAGTGCACAGGGCACGTAATGCAGCAGAATGCCCGTGTCTCTTGGTACACTAAATCAATAAGTACAGCCGTTCTGCTGTTCACGTGTTGATTTTTGAATGACACTGTAATACATAATGCATTCAAGCGCACTATTGAAGTTAATTAATAAATAGGTCAATTTAGTTTGAAAAATACGTTCTGGTGCGAATTATTAAATTTAATCTCGACGACTAGCATTAGATTAGATACATATCGAATGTTTAAAGTTTAAGTATGTAAATTATTTAAATCAGTATCGATTAATCGACTTTAAAAATCGTTTGAAATATTAATAATTATATCATGCAACAATTAAGTATCTGATGCAAAATAACAATAAAACTTACTTCGTTTATTCGGTTCAGAGTCCCAGCATCGCTGACATATCGTCTGGTTTCGATGCTTTCCAAATTTAAATCGTTATATTGTTGGGGGTTGTTTCTTACAGAATTTGACAGGTGATACTGACCTAACAGCACGCAGCATACGCATAATACAATTACGCATAATATGCGCGGGCCCCCCGACATAGCTATCTTTCTCTGTAATTAAAAAAATATACAATGATGAAAGTTATTTTTTCTACACCTTACTCTGTAGCCGCAAAACATTTTTGTGCGCGCTACGTTATCTTAACTTACGTATAATAAATATTTGGCTTATTTGATATAATTAAAAGGCCACTTATTTTTATTCGTGCATTATTTAAAATCTGTTAAGATTAAACTTAATGTTGCAGAGTCTTGTGTAAAGGAAGTTGCTGATACAATATCACATCCGGTTTTATTTTAATTTAGTATGTTTAGAAAAATATTATGTTTTAATTAATTTGTACCATTCCGCCCGATAAAAGGTATGATACTGAAATAAAATAGAATTGACCTTAAAAATCGTATAGGTCATGAATTAACGTATTGTTTAAAATGAGGGTAGTTTCATTGAATAAGGCCGGAACCTTTTATTATCGATTCACCAAGGGTAAGTTCCGGGTTTTTTGGGGAGAATAATTTGTGCACGTCTGGCCTTTTAAACTATTGATTTATTTTCGGAAAATGCAAGGAAATATAATTTAAGGATACTCACCTTGTGCAGGAAATATATCTTGAGACACTGTTGGAAAACAATCGTTTTCGGGCACAAATAATCAACATTATTAATTATTTTTCAATGATTAATAAATAAATGAATTTAAAGCTAAAAATACACAAAAGCACCGTATTAGTTTTTTGTATTCACTACGAAAAATTGTCCATACGACTACCGCAGTAGAGTGATGATTTTCGATACATTGAGCTATTGCTTTGGGACAATGCGCGTTCGGACACCCCTGTGCAAAGCCCCGAACTGTGTTCTGTTTTTTTCGACTACGGGAACTCCTACAAGCTCTTCGCAGCGTATTTTGCCTTGGCTCATAGATGGCGCAGCAAATTCGACGTCGAGTCTGCTCTATTATTGTGTTTTGCGCCTCTATTCACCGCGACACCACAGGCACGCCAAAATCAATAGTCTGCTTGACAGTTTTTTTCGCTTGTTTTTAATAAATTAGCCACCGCTGGAAATATTTTTTATCGCAAAATAACTGAAATATTTACTTTTATTTTCAACGAATGCCAATGTTAAAAAAATGCAACGATTATAATTTTTCGTTGATTTCGCTGCGCATTTTTTGTGCTCGATAATTGATAATTTATTACCTACCTACACAAAGAAATTGCAATGGACTCGAACACCTGTCAAAACCAGGGTTCGAAAAAATCATGATTTAAAAAAATATCAAAAATTAATGATTTTTATTAGAAAAATCAAAAAAATCAACAAAAAATGATTTTTTTATTTTTTTTTTCGATTTTTCAAAATTATAAGCTTTTTTAATAAGGTATACAAATAAAAAAAATACTAAAAATAAGTTGACTATAATAATATTATATTGGCACTACTTTATAAACAAATAAACCACCGTCCGCAACTGTCATAATATGACAATATACATATTACGAGGTGTGTTCAGAAAATATCGGGAATTTTCGTTTTTTGAAACAAATATTTATTTATTCGTCTACATTAATGTTGTCGCCTTCAAAATAGTTCCATTGGATATTATGCACATGTGCCAGCTCTTCTTCCAATACTCGAAACACTTCTAAAACTCGAAAAAAGTCAGACAGAGGCATGTCTGGCGAATATGGAGGCTGGGGCATCATTACAGTATTGTTTTTGGCCAACAATTTTGTTCAAAATTTGACAAATTTTGCTGCCACACGTTTCATACCCAATACATTCGAAAAAATTTCATGGGATGAGCCAATCGATATACCAACATCATCAGCGACTTCTCTGATGGTTTATAACCATTTCTTCCACTTTTTCCATGTTTTTATCGGTTGTTAATGTGCTTGTGCGTTCGGGGCGTTCGTCATCTTCAACGTCTTTACGCCCATCTTGGAAACTCTTATACCACTTGTAAACTCTTGTTTTACTTATAGCAGACTCACTATAGGCCTTTGTTAACATTTCACAGAATTTATTTAATTTTTTAAGCAAAATTGGATACAAATTCTTTGATCCATTTCTTTTAACGAACGAAAAATCGCCGAGCTCATAAAACACGTCTAACCTTAGCGGCTGCCACAGACAAAGTAAACAATTAAAACAGCTAAAGTTTTTATTATACTTCGGGAGCATGTATACCAACATAATAAAGAAAATTATATGACAACCGGACCCTCCGAACCCGCGAAATTTAACAATTCCCGTTATTTTCTGAACACACCTCGTAAAATTAATTTTTTTTATAGAATTTTTGAAAAATAGATAAAATAGCATAAAGAACTCATGTCATAAGACCTTTTGTCGCACGCGGACAATTTATAAAACGAGCGACGAATGACGTCTTATGACATTAGTTCTTTAATATACTATTTTGTATATTCCTTTATTATTTTATTTAACAAAATAAGCAGTTTTCTATGCTTATGAATTTATTTAAATAGTGTCAAGATATTATTTTGCTTTATTTAGTTTTAGATTTTAGAAACTTTTTTTAAAACTGATTTAAATCATTGATTAAATTTAAAAAATTACTTGATTTAAATTAAATCATTTTATTTCGAAAACAGTGTTTAACAAGTGATAAAAATTTGTATTTATTTAATATTATCAAATTAATAATATTAAAAATCTACCCAAACTAACTTAGCAACTACAATCAGATTTAAATAAAAAAATAGTATTCTTTGAAAACAGCTTATGAATGTTGATATTTGAAGGTGTGATGAGGGTTTAAATAAAGAAATTGCAAAATGAGAGTGACGCATTTGGGCTTCAAAGTCCCGATAATTGGGCATAATCATGTTTGGTGTTAAGTAGAAGATTAGTTATGGATCTGTTGAACTGAATGGAGTTGCTATGAGGGAAAACGCGATAACAACGCAACAAAATTCGTACCTTAACCATTTGCTGAACTGTGAAAACTTTCTTAAAGGGTGTCGAACTGTAAACTGATTCATTTGTGATGGAATATTAAGCCATGATCTTTATATTACGCTCCCGCAAAATTCGTGTGAATGAACACAGGTGCGCAAAGCAAATCCCAGCCGTTTTTGTTTTAAGTATTTTTGATATTTTATTCTTACAAATGTTTTACAAATCAAATTTTTTTAAATTTATTATTGTGCATGTTTCCATGACACTAAGTGAACTCTTAAATACACATTGACAACTTTAGTCACGGGCTGAAGTTAGCAACAGGTTTTTAGTCACGGGCTGAAGTTAGTTTTAATTTAGTTTTATAGATGTCGCTCTATACAAATATTTAATTTAAATCATAATTAGATAATAATAAGTATTTTCTAGACACTCATTTAACTAAGCACTCTCTCGCAAGCTCGCTTGTGTCTAAAATGGAGTTTATCAAACTTCATACATGATATATTATAATATTAACCGAGTTATTTGAATAATATACCTAATTTTAATGGAATTGACTTTAAAATAATGACTGAATTGTTAAATACTGTCTAACGTAATAAAAACGGTAATTAATTTAAAAAATTAATGGACAAAATTGTTAAGAGTCAGTTTATATGAAGTGCATATCTCCATTATTAATCTCAATCAATCAACTGAAGCAGGATATGTAGGATAATAAAGTTTGATAGGAGGCGATATTGAGTTCATTTTAAAAACGTTAATAAAAGTATAGAAAAGCAGCAAATTTTGCGATTAGCGTGATAAGGTTTGCATTGAAACCGAATCACCCTTAAAGAATACAATAGAAGGGAGTTGATAACGTATGTCAGGCGTGATACCGACGTTTATACCATTTTACAGAACCGTATCCAGAAATAATTTCGAATCTTAAGAATGACAACTTTAGCTATAAATTTATGTATTTGTTACGTATAAGGGACTATTCGCCGGTCTCTTTCATTACTAAGTTACGACTAAAGTGGGGAACAATTATTGAGTTCCAAAAAGGCAGCAAATATGTCACTAGCTATAAACCTTGCTACTATTTGGAACGTAGCTGCTGCGTTACTAGAACGTTGCAATATCGTTGCTAGAGCGTTATAATTACTTTTATTTATTTGATTTTACTTCTATATTAACTGTCTTTGTCAAACTTATATTAGATTATACTATCCCTCCTTTTTTAAATGGAACCACTACGAATTTGGCTTTTCAATGTCGTCGTTTATTAAATATATACTGGTAGTTTATAACTTCCAGAATAACAATATAATGTGCAATTAGGCAGGTAAATTTATAAACCCTTTAAATTTTACTGTTGGACTTATAAATTTAGTTTTTGTAAAATAAATGCGCTTCATCAATATTTAAGTATAAACAAATTATTTATTTAATAATGTTTATAAATAAAAAAAATCTTAATATTTATTATTAATTTTTTATTTAATTATTAATACCCTATTAACAACAAAATTATATTTTTTAAAAAGTAAACAACCATTTACAAACAATTAAAATAATTTAATATTTACATTGTCACGTGGTACTGTACAGTAAAAATTTTTAAATGGCCGATAAGAAGCATTTTCCTTTGAAGTAGTTTTCGCTACTTTAAAGTTTTTTTCCACCTTAATTTACTTTACGGTAGTTTTGGTTAGTAGCATAAACGTTCCAAATACTAAAATAATAACTTTCAAGTTATTAACTTTGTAGTTTTTAACTCATGTTCCATTTTCGAGATTTTAACTTGCAAAGGGACTACAAAGTAAAAATAATTATAATGTAATCTTTAGGTACAAATGCTACAAATTAAATTTACTTGAAAGTTTTTTTTACTTATAACACCTTTTTTAAAGTTGCAAAGTTTTCTTGGGGCAACCAAGTTTTACTTAAATGTTTGTTACTTTATAGTAACCATTAACAAAAATTAAAGTAGCTGTTTGGTATACTTAACTTAATTTAAAGTTATCACCACTTTGGTAATGGTTTTTGGAACCAAAAATGCTGCTTGGGAACTGTCTTAAAACTGTCATTAGTATAGGTGAATGTCAACTTAAGCTAGATGTAACAGTTTTAACTGTCAAGCTAAGCTAGGTTTAATTGAAGAGCTTTAGTGGATAAACATGTTAATTGAAATTGTATG